AAAAAAACAAAAAAATTTTTTTTATTTCCCCACCGTTCCCCTCCTCCCCCCCCCCTTTTTTTTTTTCTTCTTCAATTTTCGCCTTGACCCAGCATACCCGAGTTGTTACTCTGTGTCGTCAACTCGGATGCGACCTTACAGTTAGTTCAACACGATGAAGACGGAATCGACCGAACGAGAAGGTCACGTGTGTGAAAAAAAAAAAAATACGTTAAAGATCAACAAGATGGAAATGCCGGTAAAAAAAACGTGTTTAAAAATGTCTCCGAGGAAACTTGAAAAAAAAAACCCGGTCCTTCAGCTGTAACCTTAATCTCTCGTATTGTAACCTTAATCTCTCGTATTGTAACATTAATCTCTCTTATTGTAACCTTAATCTCTCGTATTGTAACCTTAATCTCTCGTATTGTAACCTTAATCTCTCGTATTGAAACCTTAATCTCTCGTATTGTAACCTTAATCTCTCGTATTGTAAGCTTAATCCCTCGTATTGCTTCGATCAACATGCACAGTGTACGCCAATACTAGTACGTGGATGTGAATGGATCTGGTTAGTTTTTGTCAACAGCATACCCTTTCCTCTTTTATTCCTTGCCGGGGCTGGGGGAAAAGTAGACCTGCGTTGTTTTGGGTTTTAGACGTAGACGCTCCTTATTTAGATTACACATTCATCGCCATAGTGTGTCTAGTGGGAAGGTAGACTCTATGGGCTTAAACATACAGCTTCACACCCACCGCATTATGAGTACTAGCGTACGTCATTAAACCCACCACATGGAGAGAGTACTAGCGTACATCTTTGAACTCACTACATCATGAGTAAGTACTGACATACGTCTTTGAACCTACCACATCATGAGTACTAACATACATGTTGAACCCACCACCACCACATGCGCCCCGATAACTGATATTATGTGCTGCCCTCCAAGTCGTATTGAAATGATTTAAAAATATGACTTTTTTTTTTTTTTTTTTTTTTTAAAATCTTTAAAAACTTTTTTTTTTTTTTTTTATTTTAAAAAAATTTTTTTTTTTTTTTTTTTTAAAATGTTTTTTTTTTTTTTTCCAGTTAAATGTAGAAGAAATTTAAACATTGCGCCCCCCCCCCCCCTTCCCCACAGTTTTAGAAAAATATTTTCTGCACGATTGCTTCAAAATCACAGGTATAGTGACTTACCCACTTAAATCTCTTTACCCAGGCATACAACGTTCACACGTTAGTCCCAAGAGCCGTGTTTTCTCAAATCAGTATCGTTTTTTGTGTTTTTTTTGCTTATTGTTTTTGTTGATGTCAACTTTCCCTGTTGACATTTTTGCGGCACCTTCTACTTCTAGGCACTTTGTTTGATAGGAACCGCAAGTGTCAGCCAGCGGTCAGCAGTTGTAATTGGTGTGAGGAGAGGGAGTCGTCAGAGGAAAAGGGAGGAGGGGGGGGGGGAAAGTTGACACTGGGAATAGAGGACATGTGGGTTTGATATATATATATATATATATATATATATATATATATATATATATATATATATATATATATTTTAACCAGTAAACGACTTGTGACTCTGGTCGTAAAGGCATGCATAAAAATTATAATTTAATGACCACTTGCCGTCCCGTTGATCAGAGTATAATGGCCGAAATGCCCGGCCCCAGTCCCTTTCCCCATCCCGTCCCAAAAAGCCTACAGTGAGGACCGATGGTGATGGTAAGCGAAAGGGAAAGGGGTGCTGGTTTAAAAAAAAACAAAAAAATTTTTCTTATTTCCCCATCGTTCACCTCCTCCCCCCCCCCTTTTTTTTTTTTTTCTTTTATTTTCACCTTTNNTTTTTTTTTTTTTTTTTTTTAACAGAACTTCAAAGACCGTTATGATTGTTTTAAAATCTAACAAAATTCTAATTTTCTATTTTTTAAAACAGTCCTTGACTTTTGCCATGTAGCTAAAATGCGAATTTACAGATTTTAATATAGAGAAAAGTTTATCGAAGTGTAAAATATACATGCCCCCCCCCCCCAAAAATAGCTTTACATATGTCGATGTGGCCTTCCGCACAAAAAAGTTTGCCCACCCCTGATTTAGATCATGAATCTATTGAGAGCCGCTGTATCGCCACACCACGATTGCAAACATGATTAAGATACCCGGCATTCTTGGTGTTAACTCAAGTTAACACCGGTCGATGCCCATCAATGAAACCCGTTTCGATTTTCGAACGGTATAGGAATGTCATTATCAGAACTGCAGTGTAATTTCTTTTATTTTACACAGCGTTCCCTCCCACCCACACACCCCTTCACCTCCCTGTTTCAACCGATTTCAACTGAACCAAATCACTGGCATTTACATTTGATTACCCTGTAATTGAAATCGACTCTTCACCGGGCGGTGCGGCTACAATTCGTCACTGAATGGCTTTCAAAGAAAAAAAAACGGAGGTGGGGGAGGGAGGGGTGACTTGGTTTAAAGACTGGGACGATTCGGAGTGGTGAAATGAGAGGACGGATTAGTTAGAACAATGGGGGG